TTAAGGTCGGCAATTTTTTGCTGACCTCGTTTGTAAGTTTTATTTTCAGACCTTTGTATCAAATAATTTTTGCCGCTCTGATGCTGATCTCAAATAAATAAAGGTCAGCAAATTATTGCCGACCTCATTTTTCCTAATTCTGAGGGTTGTTTTTAACATATTTATATTTATTTTTTAATTTTTATTTTATTTCTATTTTTATTTATACATGTTTAAATTTATTTTTTTTATTATAAAAATAAATTTTTTATATTTTTGTTATTTTTATTTATTTATTTTATATTATATTTAATTTTTATTTTTATCTATTTACAAAAATGATTAATTATTGTAATGTAACCATATTTAAACCTTGCGATAACCCTTACCTTATGCTTGACCTTGATGTTGACCCTAACCAAACCCTTAGTCAATATAGCAGCTCTCCCTTGCAAGTAAGGCTATTTGATAGTCGATGTATATACTTTTCGCTCTCTATAAAAGTTGCTTTCTTCCTGTTTTTGTTTATGTTATTTGTCTTCCTGATTTAAAGGTAGTAACTTTTTTTATAGCGGTTACAACCCTCTTTAAACTCTTTAACCACAAAACACCTGAACCTTGATAAATGAGACTGCTACGTGAAGAATTAAGTTTAACGCTGTTTCACCAATGATGTGATGGGGATCAAACTCAGAAATTCTCACTTACAAAGCAAGCGTTCTACCACCACTGCACCAATTCTGCATTTTGGCATCCTGAAGCTTCAAAAATGTAAAGAGGCCATATTTGGACCACTTTTGGAAAAAAATTTCAGAAATCAAGGTTAAGGGAACAAACAAGTTTTAAACCTGCAGTCCCTATACACAATGGTGGCAAGGACTCTAGGACCCCCCGATTCCAGGCCTATAAACAATAGGTTAAGTCATAAAATCTCATGATTTTATTATTTTCTAATTGCAAATCATAAACCACTTTTTGTAACATTTTTAGAGCTCTTGGATGCCAGAGACCAAGAAAATGATCAAATAATTTAGATTGATTGTAAATAATAATTGCAATGAAAATATTTTGAAAATAACTTTTTTCTACTGTATAAAAGCCATTGTTTGAATTACGCCTTTTTTTTTTTTTAAAAATCCTTTTACATTAGTATTTTAATAGATTGGATCATGACAGAATAAATGCTAAAAAAAAAGTTTCTAATTCAGGTCAGGGTAACAACATCAGTTTTTCCCATGTCTAATAACATTTGTCCAACAACATCTGAAATTTTATTGATGTCTTATGACATCTGTCCAATAATATTTGAAATTTCATTGATGTCTAATAACATCTGTGCAAAAATTAAATGAATATTCCAGATGTAATTAGATCTTTTATCAAAGTGTAATAACATCTGTACAACAATATCTGTAGATTTTAAGATAAAGTTATTTTTAAGATGAATTAACTAATAATGCATTATTTTAACCAGATATAGCTACATACAGGATTTTTTTAAGATGTAATTACATCTGGAAAAAAATATTAACTAATAGTTTGCATTGATTTAAGCAGATGTAATTAGACAGGAATTTTTTCAGATTTAATTACATTTGGAAAAAATATTAACTAATAATGCATATTTTAACCAGATGTAATTAGACATAGGAATTTTTTAGATGTAATTACATCTGGAGAAAAATCTTCCAGTTGGTATTGGACTTGGAGAATAATTACCAGACGTAGTTACATCTTTCTAAAGATGTCATTAGGGGTTGTTTAATATTCAGTTGATATCAGACAGATGTTATTAGAGTAAAAGAAAAATACAGATGATCTTGGATAAATGTGTACAGATGATCTTGGACTCTTCCACAGATGTTTTTGGACAGATGTACTAATCTTTTACCTATAATTTTTTACAATACTGTTTATTTTTGTAATTTTGGATTCAAAATTGTTTTCATGTTGTTGTGATAACTAAGTTTTTAACATTAACTGCATTTGAGGTTTTTTCTTAAACTTGTATGCATAAAAAACTGACTGTCATGAATTTAATCTCCTAAGTAGAAACTTTTATAGAATAATTAGACATATTGAACGATCAACCTCTCTATACATGATGTATTTGTTTTATTGACCTAATTTTATATTTGTTTTAAAGTTCATTTTGTTATCACATTTAAAATTTTAAATCGAATGTCATAAAATCAAGTTTTATAGTTCTTCATTAATTTGAATCTGAAGATCTTATGTGTCTTTAGCTTTTTTGTATCACCCAGAAAAACGGGTTTTAGGTTTAATATTTTCTAATATTGTAATTATTTCAAGTAAATAAAAACTGATTATTTTTATTTTTATAAATTAGCCCCCAACCAGAAATAAGATGGTTTCGAAATGGTGCTTTGATAAATGGGAATGATTCTAAGTATGTTGTTTTTCCTTATCAATCTGGTAAGTTGACAATAAAAAGTCTTGACAGTTTTGTGAAAGGACAGTACAAGTGTTTGGCATCAAATAAAGTAGGTCAAGTTGAATCAATTGGCGATGTTCTAATTGCCAGTAAGTCTTTTAATTTTGAATTGGTAATTGAAAAATAATTAGATTAATTTTAATTTTCTAATTAGAATAATTATAAGAAAAAAAGAATTACATTAATTTTAAATAAATTACATTAGTTTCAAATGAATTACATTAATTTTAAATGGGTTACATTAATTTTATATGAATTACATACAATTTTAAATTAATTCCATAAATTTTAAATTGACTACATTAATTTTAAATTAATTACATTAATTGCTTAATAAAATATTCAAATGCAGTTCTTAAATTATAAGTAATTTTAGCGCCTAAATTTTATAAGCATTTGAGCTTGGCGTTTGGAACCTAAAGACGATCTCTACATACTTAACATAAAATAAATTTCATTTTAATTGTTTTTTTGTTTTTTGTTTTTTTGTCTAGTTTTTAACTTTTTATTAGTGATGGGTCAATTATTTTGTATTGATGTCTGATTGCTGATCCTTTCAAAACATCATTGGCATTTTTTTATTTTTCAAAACAGCATATAATTAGATGCTCGATTTATAAAAAATATTTGTTTCATATCATGGTTTCCACCTGTATTTTTATAAATGTTTCACCTGTTACCATTGACAGGTTAGAAAAATTTGTAAAAAAAAGGTTTTTTACAATTTTATTTGTTGATAAAAAAATATTCATAAAAGTTTTTGCAGACAATCTTTAGGTCGAAGAAAACCATAAATAAAGCAACCAAATACAATTGTGATTGTGTTGATGTTTGATTTAAACTAAATATTTTTACTTTCTGGATAATGTTGAAAACATTTGATTATAAAATGTTATATTATGCCGTGTTAAATTTGTAATTATTTATAATTTTTTTATATTATAGTTCCAGTGAGTTTTAATAAAAGCCTTATACCTACTGTTGTCACCAATGGAGGCAATGTAAGTATGGAATGTTCAGCTACAGGAACTGAACCGATAGTTTATGAATGGTATAGAAATGGAAGCCTCTTAACATCGTATGCTTCTGGAAAGTATATAACTTCTTTTGATTATTGTTACTAATTTATTTCTAGCTATATTTTGTTTGTTTTACATGTATAAAAACTCAAGACTAAGTTAAAGTGTTAATTATATTTGATCTAAATTGTGTTGGAATGCTAAAGGTTAATTTTTAAAAATTTAGTTATTCGATGGTAATTAATGGTGGGAAACTAGAAATCAATTCTGTTCAATTCGCTGATGCTGGATCTTATCAATGCTTTGCGTCGAATAAATATGGACAACAAACTAGTGCGGCTATTTTAACCGTTAAAGGCACGTATTTTATCATACGAATTCTTTTTAACTTTACTAAACTAAATTCAAATTGTAATTTCTAACTTTATGTTTTAAATAATCTTATATATTTAATAACTTCTAAATGAGTTTGTAAATCAGTTTTGATGGTATTTCTTCTTTAGCCACAAATGTAGTAGATCCAGGAAGTCGGCATATTACATCTAACAACAATGTTTTTCCACTTAAGTACATTATTATAATTGCCTGTGCAACAGCTTCATTAATTATTTTAATATTTGGAACTATACTAGTTTGTCGTTATAAAAAGAAATATAAGAATCACAAAAGAGCTATTTATGTACCGTCTACAAGAAGAAGTAAAAAAAACTCTATTGATCTTCCTTCACCTCCAAAATCATTTACTGAATATAGTGATGATGAATTCTCATCAGACAGCGAGAAACCGGTTGATTTTATTGATTCAACGACTGTACCACGGCAAAATTATAATCGCAGAATAGAAAATACAGTACAGCCTAATAAGGATTTGCATATTTACTGCGATATAACAAACATTCAAACTGAAAACCCACAAAGCAATTCTTTGACTACTAATCAATGGAGGAACAGCACTCCATCTGCTATTCTATAAAAAAAAATAGTTTTTTAGTGTAATATTTTAATATTCTTTTCTATTAATTCAACGCTAAAGAATAGTAAGCGCAGTACTGAAAACAAAGGTGAAACCTTGCGAATGTTTACGTTAAAAAAAAAAAAAAATTCAGGGCCGGAATAGTGGTAAAGCAGGCCAAGCGCATAGGTTGCCATGTTTAATGATGAAAACCTTTCCTGGAGCGCTTAAGCATCAAAGCATTTTGAACTTCGGCCCTGAATTAGAAAGTCCCTAACAATTAGTTAACATTTTATTCAATTTTATTTAGAAACGGTGTAAAGTTATAAATTTTATATTTTTATTACTAAAAGTAACGTTTTTTCTGGTTTCTTTTTGTGTTAATTACATTATTTAGTATTTGTTGTATGTTTTTTGTTTATATGATTTACTAATTATTGTTTTTTTTAAGTTTAACTTTTTTAAAGCTTGCTTTTGAATTTTATACATTTGGAAATTTTTATTACCGAGACAAATATATTAACTTTTTGTAGTCATGTTTTTACAAATCTTTATGCAACTTGTTTATATACGCGCACTAAAGGTATCTAGAGCTTAATTGGATATAAAAATAGTTTTATGACTTGACGAACTTAGTTTAACTTTACAGGGGGCAATAAGTTATTGCAGTGAACTATTGTACTATTTGCCCAAAAATTTGGATTCTTTAGTCACATTTGGTTAAATCTAATAGCTTCTCTGCTAGACCGTCTGATCACGGTTACACATGTTAATTTATATCTCCTGTACCGTCGTCTACTTTGTCATCGTCTGAACATCGTCGTATGCGAACGCTAAAATAATGCTTGGAGTTAAATTTTAGAAGATTCTCCTACTGTATTCAATTCACTTATAAATTAAGTTGATACATTGATAAGAGTTAAACCTCGTTAAATGAATTTTAATTTTCAATTTGCGTTTAATGAGTCGGTGTACACTGAAAGATTCCTTAGCTCAGCATTAACAACAAATAATGTAATGCATAATTAAATTATGCATTACATTATTTGTTATTAATCTTTTGTTATTTAATTTATTAGCATTGTTTACTAGTGCTACAAAATTGCTTCTTGTTCATAATATAAATCTTAAAAACTTTGAAAATACAAATAAAATATTAACTAATTTAACTTAAGTCTGAATTATCCAAACACGATTTATATTAAACACGATTTATTGTTACACAAATCAAAGTTAAATTTAAAAACTTTTTATTAAACGAAAATATTCAATTACTAATGGCATTAGAATAATATCCAGACGTAATATCCAATATATAGGCCGTTTTACATATTCTCAATTTATTATTCAAAATAAATCAGGATAGATACTTAACTAGACATTCAAGCAACAACTTTATTGAGCTCAAAAGTTTCGCGATAATTGAGTTGTCCATTTCAAAAAAATTATAATTCATAAGCTTTAAACACTTAACAAATTCAAAGCAAAACTGAAACAGTTGCGACGGAACGCATGATTTCTTCTGAGGTTATCTTTAATTCTGAGGCTATACACAATATTGATAAATAAAATTGCCATGCTACTTATATCACACACGAATTTCTCTATTGTAAGTTTTTTGAGCATTTTATGTTCTCTTCACCGGATCACTAAGCTCTCATTACCGCAATGCTTTGACCATTACAGTACTTGATCCTTAGTCAGATGATCCCAAACTTCGCCTTGACTATTGTCTTTTGTAAAGCTACTGTCAAATCTAAGCTATTTTTTGACGGGATAGTGTTCTATTAAATGCTCATACATCAAAAAAAAAAAACCTCCGTCTTTTTCTTTTTTTGTTTTTGAGATATTCTGACACTGAAATGAAACTGCTACGTTTTAAACAAAGCTAATATTTTTCGTTTCTAAACAGCTGCAAACCCAACACTTGCGCAGCGCTACATTCTTCCGGCTATTTTTGTTATATTTGATATCACGCCAAATGGTTTACGACATTACCAATGTTATTTTCATCTTCACCATTATATCTTGATGCTTTGATTTATCACCTTACTTATACATTCTATTTAAAATTGAAATAATATTTTGCTGCGGAATTTAAACCAAAATCGAATCGTGAAAGTTAGTTTGTATCTTTTAATCAAATATCACCACAAAACTTTATTAATATGTATATGCATGTAGCCATATCTAAGATCAAGCATATAAAGTTTGCTATCGATTTTTCTACAACCTCTCACTGTTTCATCACATGCGTAATTTCAGTCATTATAACTACCATACTGGTTTAACATAAGTTGCATAACAAAACAGGTCGCACGTGTCCTTTGTTTTTTGGCATTAGCAAAACAAATCTTTTTTTCATCTTTTTTTGTATAATTTCAACCAGCTTTTTTCCATCCATGAGTCACTTTGTTAAATTTGTTTATAAATTAATACTTACATTGTAATGCTTCTATTTTGCTTCCATTTATATTTAACACTCTACTTTATGTCATCGAAATATGCATCGAAATAATAATATGTAATCAAAATAGTAATAATCAGTCATAGTATATCATCAGCCATAGTAACAGATCTTTTTCCGTGAACATTGAAACAAAACCGAATTAAATTTTTTCATCATTTATAAGCACTCCTCCGCAACGGTCAATAACAGCCATACCAATAACAGCTAACCAATCTCTTTAAGAATACTTTTAAAACAACTAAAACAACTACAAAAATCATTACTGATGCTTGTAGTTGTTTCTCAGCAATCAGCAATGCTGTTCTAGCAATTTTCATCACTATTATTTCATCATTATTATTCTAGCAAATTTTTATCACTATTACTTACATATTATTACACTATTGTACTAATCCAGATGCCTTCTTTTCATTTCCATTTTCTTGCTATTGCTAAGCTGCTCGTATTAAGTGAATTTCTTTTCGAGAAACAACGGAATTAATAATGCAGATTGAAAAGTTTTTGCAGCTCTCTGACCAACTTTTATAAGCCGTACAAGCACATTTCAAGGTTCATTAAACTTTCCAATTATTTTTCATAATATCAGAATTGTTGTAGTCAAGGCAAATATATTTATTTTTTTGTTTTCATGCTTTTAAAAATATTTATGCAACCTATTTATATACATTCACACAAATTCTCTAGGTTGTAATTAAGTATAAAATTAGCTTTATAAGTTAACTACAAAAATTTAACTTTACCAATGGCGATAAAAACTTTTTATAAGCTTTTAAAAGCTTACAAAATTTTTTTAAAAGCTTACAAAATTTTGTAACATTTTAATCTTAATACTTTGCTATAGTTATGTTTTACAAGTTATTGTTCAAAGTAAATATATTGAGTAGTTCTTCAACACGAACTTGAGTTTGCCTAATATTTTTACTTGTTGATAGCTTTTGGTTCTGGCTAGATTGATCTAGCCAGAACTAAACCTATCAACAAAACGGGTTGAGTATGCGTTATGTTATATAATACGAAGACCTGGAAAATATTTTTTATCGTATAACTTTTGCAATATTTTTGATTTAATAAATTTTTATACTAGAAAATATTTTGAAGTTTGAGATTTTGTTTTGAAGTTTTTCCATTTTGTTGTTGCTTTGATTTAAACTTCAAGAATTTCTTTAAGTCAACTTAAAATAACGCAATAATAACGCATTATTTACGATTACCCAAAGTACAAATAGATGGATGAAAAGTTTTCAGTTAATGACTTTGCAAATATTCAATGATCTCATCATAAACATCGCAACAAAAATTATTTTCTATTCCTAAAAAAAAGTCACTGATATGTATAAAAGGTAGACCCTGCATCTCAAAACGAAAAAATACATAGCAAGACAAAACTTTAAAAGAAACAATTTCTTCAATAATACCAATACAAAACGAAACAAAAATTGGTCTAGTTTTGGTTTTATTAAAACACTATTTAATTTAGGTAGAATAGGTCATTTATATAGTCAGTTTATCTAAGTAAGCCATGAATTACTACCATTTTGAAGATAACTGATGGTTTACTTTGAAACTGTATAGATTTTTTTCAACGTTTCGATGTGAATTATGTGAACAAAATTTTATGTGAAGCAGCATCCAATAATAGACAATAACAGTTAATTACAAATTGGATTAGATAAAATGAAAAAAAAGTTTTTGTTAACTAATTGTATTCAAGTAATATAAATAATTTAAAAATAATATCCACAACACGTGGAATGCACAAACCTAAGTGAATGCAAAAAAGAGCAAAAAAAAAAAGCAAAAAAAAAATGATTTACTCAAAAACACTTCACTTTAATCCCCTATTGACAATGCATATCCTTCTAATGCTATCATGTATTCTGACAAGGAGCAAGGACAGAACTAGTTTAAACACTTCTTGACCTCTCCGCATTTTTAGTCTTCTGGCCCCGGTTTGCCACAAATTATTCAATTTTAAAAAAGTTTAAAATATTATATATCTTTTAATTGTTGCACTACGGTTTTCGAAGGTACTTTCTTTTGTCTTTAAACACGCTTCACACGTTACTTAATGCACAAAAACACGTCGTTAAATTCATCTTTGTAATAAAGCAATTAAAACACTGATTCGTCAATACTTTAAACTCGCGAATGCAGAGTTGACATCTTCTACGTCAACGGAAGCCAATATCTATTTAAACGATAGATATCTGAAAGACGTTTCTAACCAATTATAAAATAAATGAAACGAAGAATATACTTTTAAAAGATAAAAAAAATGCATAATGTATCAATCCATTGTTTGATTTTTATTACAAAGTTTATTATTAAGATTATTATTTTTAACTTTAGCTATCATTTTGATTGCTCAAAAAACACTCTATTTTTCCCACTATTATTTTGATAGTGCGACATGCGAGCGCGACCAAAGAAATGGCTATTATTTTGTTTTAACTTACGGCACATTAAGCTGTCAGGAGTCAGGACCAATCTTAACGGTTTTTGCAGTTGAAGTCCATAGATTTCAACTGCAAAAACTGTTAAGATTGCTGGTCCGTTTTAGTCTAAAAACATAGCTGGTCCGTTTTAGTCTAAAGTCCATAGTTTTTACTTTCTGAGTAGGATCATTGCTAAGCTCAAGAGTAGTGGCTTAATTAGAAGATAACTATTAACAAATATACAAAATCTCAAATGAAATTTGTGTTTTTATTAGTTTTAAATTTTAAATCATCTTGCTCATTTTTTAAGTTTATCCCCGTTTATTTTTCTCATATTGTTTTTTCTTTTCAAATAAAATATTTATTTGCTCTAGTCTCTTGAATTTCGCAGCCTCTCGTCAAGTGGATGCTGTAATCGTGGGTAAAGCTGGCAACGAAGACGATGAGCAAGAAGCGGAAATGGCTCTGAAACAGAGCCTTTTTTGCTCATCCTATATGAAGAAACTGAAACACAGAAAAATAAAGAACAGAAATGGGCAAATTTAAGTATGAACTAAAAGAGAATGTTGAAAGTGACTCCAGCTATGATACTATAAATGAATTGATAGTGTAGTTAATGAGAAATACAGAAACGTTAAAAAAATTAATTCTGGACGAATCCAAGCACAGATTGTTTTTGAGTTCATATAAATAAATTAAGAAGTGTTTTTTTCCAAAAGCAACGTGCTTTTTATTTTTGTAACTTAGTTATATAAACTACTTTTCAAAAGTACATGTTAAATTTACTAAATTCTACTACTTTTCATGTCTCACGAGTAAATGTTAATTATAAAAAACATATTTGTAAGTATACACAAGTCTAAAATGGAAAAAATTAAGATACAAAAAAAAAAAAAAAAGTTTTTCTTAACGAGTACAAAAAAAAAAAAAAAAAAGTATTTATAAAAAAAATATATTTTTATAAATATTTAAAACTTAAACGTTTATTATAATGGAATCTCAATCACTTCTGACTTCGCTCAAGGCCGGCGTGTGTGGAAAGAAAAATCGCTTGACTAAATTACACTTAGTATCAGTGCCGTGGATACTTGGTCGGAGGTTTCTCCCCAAAACCTGTCATTAGGCCGCAAAAATTATAAAAAATTTTCCGCTGTGTATTATTAAAAAAAAGAATTCCCTAAATTAGCGAAGGGGCCCCTAAATTCGCTGCCGCTTCCTCCTCCCCCAAATATGTTGGGCAGTATTTTATATAATCTAAAAAAATTAAAATTATCTATCATTAATATTACTATCATAATGTTTGATAATATTATTTATTATGGTTTTGATATATAAAATGTCATTCTCATTACAAAACAATCAGAATAATCAGTTATTTAATTTTAGCGTTTTGAGTCTGAGATAAAGAAATATGGTTTTTTGAGGAACCTATTATCCACATTTTTAACAAAAAGTCTGCTATAAAAAGATTGTGTAGACAAACTTTTTCCTTTATTACAAGTTATTTTCGAATGGCGACAAAACTCTAAAATCTTTATGAACTTATTTAAAAAGCGTCCAGTTTTTGACGTCATCCATATATAGAATAAGTCCACAAAAATGAAGCCAAATATGGTAGTGACGTTACAAAGAAACCAATATAGATAAATAAAATTTCCACCTGAAATACGTTGCGCGCAAATGACGTCAAAACTGGAGTCGAAGTTTTAAAATACTAGATAAATCTTTATCGAATATTCATATATTGTAAAGCCAAGTAGATCCTTTTAATGTTTTCAAAACTATTTTTAGTATTCATTCTAAAGTTTTTATTTATTTACACTTACTATATAACTCTGTCTTAAAAATATTTTGTTTGAAAACTATTAAGTATTAAACTATTAAAGAAAAAAATTGACAAAAATTGAAAGAAATACCAACGCGTGGTATTTTGGTGTGCATTAAGTCCACTTGTTCATTAGATTTTTCACGCCTCTAATATACTTTTTACGTTGTATTTATATGTCTTTATGATAAATTTGCAACTTATCTGGATAGATTCCATATATCCTTCTAGATCCTATTCGGATTTCGAACGGTTCTCCGCCGTCTCTGATGCCATATTTTAAAAATAAATAACATGTATTTTGATTCGAAGATCGAAATGAAATGTTATTATAGCATAAATAATAAGTTTGACAAAGCAGAGTGCTTTTAGGGAGAATATTTTTAAAGTGGTTTAAATGAGTGATATTTGTCACAAAACATTATCTCATTTTAACTTTAAGTTAAATGAGATAAAATGCCGTTTTTCACTCATTAATTTATTGGTGTGAGTCTAATTATTAATTAGGTTCACTCATTATTAAGTTAATGAATAAATGAGTGAAACACGACATTTTACATTGAGCCTGATTTAATTAGGCTCAGTATTTTTCAGCACTTTACTCTATTAAATATTATCAAAACATAATCTTAATTGATTTTGATGTAATTTTATTATTAATAATATTTTACTTTTATGATTTCAGTATTTTTACTAAATATTATTACATGAAAGTTATATTCTTAAGTTATTATCAAAACACAATAGATTTTATCAGAATTTTATTAATAATATTTTTCTTTTATGTCTTCAGTGTTCTTGCTAAAGCTTGCAGCAGAACTTTAGTAGCATGTAAATATGTTGAATTTGATTCAATTCACACACACAAACACACACACACACATCACACACACAATCAAACGATAAAGTTTGATATATATATATATATATATATATATATATATATATATATATATATATATATATATATATATATATATATATATATATATATGTATATATATATATATATATATATATATATATATATATATATATATATATATATATATATATATATATATATATATATATATATGCATGTATGTATTAGGGATTTGACTTTTTGGTATCTCCAGTTTCCAATATAAAAAACAGATAGACTTTGGTTTGAAAGTAACGGAAAAATCAAATTGTATTAGTTGGTTTTATTTAATTGGTTTTATTTAATTTTTGTCAAATTATCAAATTGTATTAGTTGGTTTTATAAAATTGTATTAGTTGGTTTTATAAAATTTTATAAAATTTTATTTAAATTTCGTCAAAAAGTCAAATTGTATTAGTTGGTTTTATAAAATTGGTTTTATTTAATTTTCGGAAAAGTTC